AAAGGAACTGCTCGCCCGCAAAGTATCCAAAAAAGAGTAGTTCAAAACATTTATCGTTTCTGGCTTGGTACGCTCGCCTTAGGTGCAGGAGGAACGAGTTTGCAAACTGTCGAAATTTGCCCCTGGAGGCCATCAAGTAGCGGCGCTAGTAGTGGAATTCAGTTTCAATTTCCGTTACTATTTTTGCAGTGTACATTTCCGTAGAACTCAATCCCACAGTGCTAGAAAGTACCAAAGAGGGATCGCAGTCAGCATCGTTAGGAAGAGGAAATACATAATTGGAATACACATTTACTCACACTTTTCCAATTTTCTTGTCATGCCGCCATAATGTGGGGGAGCAATAAAGCTAGATGGAGAGCATTTTATACGAAAAAGGTGTCAAAATGATATTACACTGCCGAATCCCGTTCTCGTTCCGACGGTTGAAAATGGTTTCGGGGAATGGGAAATTCAAATTACGTTTCCGTCAAGTGTTTGAACGAATGGAAAGTCATCTTTTTTTTTTGCTGCTTATGGGTGGTTTTCCAGAGAGGAGAAAATATGCTATGCTGCGCGGAGCTCAGAACCAATGAAAAATTACACGCATACTAAGCCTATCTTATGCACATCAGCACATGAAGTACAAAAACATGCTAATTATATGGAAATTTGTTATTATATTTGAAATTTGTTTATTTTTACTATTTTTTCAACTCCACATTCCCAATGTACCAAATCCTCATGGCACTCAAGTGGTATCAAAGAACTTGTAATAAAATTATTTCCTCCGTGAAAGGAATCCATTGTACACATACTATCGCACAAGAATGCGCGGTCGAGCGGAAAACAAGCTATATTCCATCCCCACCCACCGTAATTTTCGCACCAATACAACCACAAGCCAACAAGCAATCGGAAAATGAATCAAAGCAAACATGGCATGAAATTTACCGTAAGCAGATCATAGTAGCTATCTAAAATTCCAACCACCAGTCAGCACCCCATCCATACCCAGCCCAGCGACGCTTCTCCTCCACAGCAGTGTAAGCATAGCTGCATACAAGGGATGGATAGATACGATGTGCGCACAATAATGGTAGGTTGGTAGCTATGCGGCATCGTTCGCCATGCCTCCCCTTTGGGCATGAACGTCGACTTTATGGCGAAAGGAAATCCAGTTTTTCCTAAACGATTTCTTCTCCGCACCTGGTGCGCTTCTTGGTAGCAAATTGCCTTTCTGGCAAACGACCAACGGAGCGAGAAATAAAATGAATAAATAAAAAGAAAATTTGACTTAATCGGTATCTTGTACCAGATATCCTTCAGCACGCACACATGGTAACAAATGGTTAGACTACACGAAGATGATTTTGCTGTTGTGAGGGGTATACCAATACACGTTGCGAACGGAGCAGCATAAATCAGGATCAATTCTGCTATGGAATTCAAAGCTTGACTCGTATTCTGAATGTTCCACATCCAAAAGATGCAAATTCTTTGAATTATGTAGCCTATCTGAAAGCATGAGATCGATTCCTGTCTGCTACATTTTATACAACATTTTTTTATGTTTCAGAAGCTAAGTTATGAAGTCTGCAATATAAGCGAAACTATTGATTTCAATCCTTCTTTCGAAAACTCAGAATTAGTTCTTATGGAATTCTTACGTTATTTTACCTCAGTGTACTATAACGCAGCTATCAATGCTGTCCTCTTCATAATTTTCTATAGCTAATACATTTCGCAGTAAGTCTTATTAGTATTTCCTACAACTTTGTAAATAGTATAATAATAATCATACAATTTTATTTGAGTGTCTACAACAATAAATACTTATGCTAGATCAGTAGATCGAAAAATGATTATCTACTTGTAGGAATTTCTCGTTCTGTTTCAAAATGGCGTGTTCAATATTTTTCAAAAAGCAGCATATAAACGACTCATCTTTGCTGCTTATAAATGATAAAATGGCTAATGAAAGCTACAAAAAAGCTACCTTAATTATGTTGTCGGTACAGTAAGTTTTATTAGACAATTTTATCTTTTAAGGTGATTCCTTGTAGAGTCCAAAAATAGCCACTATGTAGGCTATACGTGTACTTCCACTTCAAATTTCCAATTGCACAAATCACGGAGATCAGTCCTCAATTTCACCTGAAATTGCTACTTCATGTATGCTGCAGTGCAGCAAACGTGGAGTAACAATTTGAATGTTGTTCATGCCCTAGAAGCTTATATTTGTGCACTGATTGTTTCGAAGTGGTTTCGAGAATAAGGATATCACAGCGAATCACCTTAAGGTGTACATAATACTCTTCATCTATGCCGAGATTGAATAAAAACTGCGAAACAAATAGCTAATTTTTAGCTGTGCATAATTTTCAACTCAGTAACCATATTTTCATTTACAAAGCTAGAGTGGTGGTCTTTTGGCTAAAATGCACACATTTTTGTTTATCGTCTCGAAAATGTGTGCACTAATTGACTTTGCGTTAGCTGCTCCCGTCAAAGCGAATAGGAGTTAAAGGGCAATAACAGTAGCGTGAAAATCTACCCACTTCAGCGGAACAAAGCCAAAAGGAAGGGCACACTGTGATCCCTAGGAACTGTAACAGACATTCACGTTTACGAATTATTAAATCATAGTTGTACAAGATTATTTGCATATCAAAAAGCTGTGTATGCAGGATACAAAATCAGTAAAAAAACAGGATTAAAAATCTGATCTCATTATAATTTAAACCACGCAAGACCATTTTAATTGAATAAAAATCTCTATTACAAGCTCTGGTTACTGAGGTCGGTTTCATACTCATCAAGCAAAGACTATTTCCCATTTATATTGCACATTAATCATGTAGTTTTTCAAGTTGTTTATATATGCAAATTAATTTTCTGAAAATTGTATGCAGTGGCAACCTTGACAAGAGTGCCACCTATCAGTGATACCATTTTCTTGATTTTGAAAAAAATGACAGCAATTTTTTCGCATGTAAATTATATTATGTTTTAAGCGGAAATATTTTGTTTGTGTCATTCCCAATTTAAAATTGTCCTTTATGTCCAATATAAGTAAAATTATCATTTTTGATAAACAAAATTTTATTTCTGAAATGGCATTTGGATTTGTTTTGAAAATTATCAGAACGAATGAAAAATTAGGCGCGACTCAAAATGGGAGTTACTGCACAAGTTTGATATGGTGCTAATATTGACAAATTATGCGAAGTCTCAAGGAATTCTGAGAGGTGTAATCTGAAATTCACTATTTGGCGTAGATATTCTTGTATATTAATTTTTAACCATCTAGCTCAATCGGTTCTGAATCAGGCTAATCCTCTCAATATTTTAACTCAATTATAGCTGCGATCTCATACTACTCTAGCCGTTTGAAGTTTATATGGGAATTACTATGGAGTATTTCCACGCCAGATAGTTAGATCTCTTCGATTTTAATGAAGCATTGGTTGCTACCCAAGACGGCATTTCGCATAAAATAATTGTAAGTTTTTTCGGATTTATTTTTTATAATGGTGCTCAAATAATCATAACTTAAAAGCACTATATTTATCTTAGTGGTCTATAAAAACACATACACTGAGTGAAAAAATCACTTGTAAAGTCATGTTTAAAGGTAAATTGTTATTTTTTTTACCATAGACCCTCTCATCGATTTTTTTATTTGTTAAGTATGTTGAATAATTACATGTTTAAAATAATGTTTTTGATTATTTTTTTTCAGTTTGTATCATATTTTGATACACATTAAAATTTGTAATTTTTATTAAGTCAATCCGTTCTCTAGTTATTGCGAATTTTAAGAATGGGAAACTATATATTACTATTATTTTAGACCTTTTTCGATGGTTAGTCAAAAATCATCCACACACACGGAGTCTGTCAGAATTACCCGTTCTGTTTTAGACTCAACCGAAGAGAAACAAACACACAGGGGAACCACACCGCCTCATCCTCTTATAATTTATCCATAAATTTTGCTTACATATCCTCATCAATGAAACTAATTCCAGAATATCTCATTTTTATCCCATTGATTTTTTTTTCAATTTAATTGATTTTGCAAGTTATCCTGAAGATCGCCGCTTATCCTTCTATCTATTCCGATCTATTATTTTCATCCCGCAAATATTTGTCCGTACTTCATGTCCTTCAAGAACTTGGAATTATCATTTTATCCTTTATATTTTAAATTATTCATTACAAGAAATTTGTAGCTCTGCCTCGATATTTCAGCCCAATCGAGAGATGATTATTTGATTTTCTGAAAAAAAATTCAAATTTCTTGCATTGAGAAAAAAAAAACATTTTCCTATTAAAAGTTATGATATTTTGGATCACGTGGTAGTATTTTCACAAATCATCGTTCATATAAGAACGATTACGTGGTGTAATCTTGATAGGGGAAGATAAAAACAGTGGCAAATTCCATTTTCAACCCCACACATACAAACAACCGTCAATAAGACGCGAAACCAGTGCCAAAGAGTAAGCTTGCCAAATCCCTTTCGAAATTAAAATGAAATTAAAACTCAGTCACCCCTCACGCGAAAACAATCTCCATCGCAAAGGTTGTTGAATTTTCCACCGACTCGCATACAGCTGCAACCAAGCGTGCTCTGCTCCGATTGGTTCGCCAGTAGGGGATGAAAGTGTAAGCTCCACCCCTTTTCGAACATCGACGCACTTTTCGATATTTGCCGTTTCACTCACGTTGCTTTCGTCCTTTCCGTTCTAGCGCGCGTTTGTCAGTGGCTTGTCCTTACAAGGATTCATGACGGAGTGTTGCCTCCGTCGCCTTTCGGAACGAATGTTTACGTGTGTGCGCGTGAGCGAAGGGTATAGAACTGAAGCACAGCGGCAATAAAATCCATAACAAAACAAACAAGCGATTCACAAGTTGTTTGTTAAATGGGGTTTAATAATTTTGTTGTATGTTAAACTCATTTTGTAATTTGAACGCTGCCGACGAGTAAACAACGTGTGTTCTGCCGCTCGGGTGTGTTATACTACTAGTGAATTTCCTGAACGTGGACGATGCCGATCGAATGTGGACGACGGTGGAGTGAAACGGTGTTGATGGAAGGATTGTAGTGTACTGAAGAAAACTGGCTGGGGTTTAGTTTAGCAGAAGCATTTGAACATAAGTGTTAACACACAAAAGGATGTCGGTTTCGCAAGATTGTGCAAATTGGTTAAATTAATAAGAAACGGGGAATCCATAAAAAGAATGAGTGAAAATATTTAGTGATTTGCTGAAAAAGTGTGTTTGTTAATTGTATAGATTGACAGAATAATTGCGTTGGTTGCAATACAATTTCGCATTGGTTGCAATAACAATTATGTCTTCCCCCGAAGTGGATATCGATGTCAACGTGGTGTCCAGTCCGGAACCGAGCCCTCGTGGAGCCGTAGGTTCAGAAAGCCCACGTGGTCTACACAGCGATGATGAACAAATATCATCGCCGGACAGCTCACACCCACACCTCAGTCATCTGCATCATCCGGCGCTTGCCAATCACCTACAGCACAGTGCAACTAGTCAACATAACTATCATAGTATAGCCAGTGGCCTAAGTAATAATAACAATAGTTTCTCGCATAGTCCTGAATCTCGGCTCAGTCCACCAAAGACGCCGCCGTCGACAGATCCTCACTTGCAGTCGAGCGGTGGACAGCCAACTTTGGGGAAGACGGCGGCAACACCTGGATATACTAGTTTTTCAATTTCCAGTATTCTTAGCCGTAATGAACCCTGTTCGAAGAAAGGTGTGATAACGCCCATTCCTTCGTTACCACTGTCCGCCGCAGCGGCAGCTGCAGCAGCAGTTGCATCGTCGAATGGAAATGGCAGTATCAATGGTGCCACTAGCCCGCAGGATGCTGCGATGTTGTCCAGGTATGAGTGCTTCATTTGTTTTGGTTTATGTTTGATAATATAATGCAATTTAACATTACGGTAATTTGAAATTGTGTGGTAACGGGAACAATACGCACGATCATACTTAATTAGTTCTGTACATATTATGGATCATTGTATTATGACGTCATCAACACAGTTTTGATAGATGATGATTTTTTTTTCGGAGGCATCGTTATGAGTTTTTGTGCTCTAAAAATGATTAAGCTTCAAATGTTGAAGACATCCACTAATGCTAATTTTACATGAATTTCAAAATCGAATCGATCACAATCTGAAAAACGACAATTCAAAACTTCGACCATTCGTTCCCAATTCTAACCCTTGTAAATAAGCTCCTTGCACTTTCTTAAATGTGAGGTTAAACCTTTCTGTGAAATGATCTATATTACTCTTATCACATTTATGTATTGACGTAACTGAGGAAAAATCCAAAGGGGGCTAAATAAATTGTTTAATTTTCTCAATTAGGCAATTAGTGAACAATTTTGATGTGTAAGGCAAATAAGTAATTGTAGTAACAATTTTAGAGGCAGCTAGATCAATCCTAGGGTTGCTGTAGCTCCCGTAGTTACCCCAATTATCCCAACTGACAGGCCACAAAGATTGGAACTCGTGCAGTTTAATTTTATGTGTTAAGTTTAATTTATTCCTCTTTGGCGTGTAATTACAGCGCAATTATACAGTTAATAAGGATACATTGAATAAGCTTTGGTCAAGCACTCTATTGTAGATTGTAATAAACTTTTTATTTGTATTCAATTATTAATGTAATCGCAAATATTGTGATTTAATCGAGATCGTTGAAAATTATTGCAGTGCAGGCGATTTCTCAAATTTGAGGATTAAGTCAAGATCAACTATTAAAAAGGCCTCATCAGGCCTATTTAATTTTTGATCTTGAATTGTATTGTAAGCTATCTGCATTTATTGATTCTTTTCATTGACTTTTTCCTTCGATAACCATAACTTCAAAAACAGATTTCGGACTATTTTTTCTCATAGTTTTATAAATAAGGTTTATAGCGAGCCTTCAAAGCGTCAAACATGACATGGAATGTTTTTGAAACTGAGTTATAATTAATAAAAATGCAAGTCGATAGAAAGAATTGATTAGGGGTCACATTACCGGGTGGTTTTTAAAAAACCGAAACCGTGATATCGGTAAATTACAGGTAAATAGCCGGTTTTCGTAGTCTTATTGTTTTGAGTTTTGAAATGCAAAAAAGTGCTAGAATAAAAGATGTTAAGTTATGTTATTGTATATTTATCGAATTAATAAAAACTTTTTTTTCTTAAATCGTGTTTGTATAGTATTTAATTTTTATTCAATAGCTAATCAGATGTATTGAGCATAAATAAGGCTGACTTGACTTTTAAGCCGGACCGAAAAGTGATGAATCATCTATTGTACTATGAGAAGGAGAGGATTAATGTTATTTGCATAATTTAACACGCCGATATTTTATGAGTTTGCAAAAGAACAAATAGAAAAAGTTGCAAAAAAACAGAACAAAAATTAAATCTTGTAGCCTTTCAAAGCACACAACATACGTAAGATAACCATCGTTAAAATAAGACCAAATATCCGATGCAAAGCTCCCAGATACAGAAAATGCTCGTCATAAATTTACAGAAAACGGCCGAACTGTTTTAAGTGCATTAAATACAAGTAACAAATACTTTCCTAGCCCTCATAAAACTAAATTCAATTGGTTTACTTCCACTATATGAAATACGCTAGTGATTTTAATGTGATCTAATGTAAAGGTTGGCAACTGATTAATTCAAATTATTAAGTGTATGAACCTAAACTAAAGTTGGATAGTACTCAACATAGAGCAAGTGTGTAATTTTGAAAGAGCGAAAGTACGAGACAGCAGGATCATGTGGACATGCATTGAACACGCAAGCAGTCTCACTACTAGAGGTGTCTGTGTCAAAGGACATGATACTAATGTGACCCCAAGTAACATTGCAGGTTTTATCGCGATTTTATAGCATTCTACAAGTCTAAATCATGGTCTACAGAACCCTTATAAAACCAAAATTGTTACTTGGGACCTGTACTATAGCTCGCTTGGGTATAGATCAATGGGTTAAGTCTCACTGTCCTATGCTCGACCTGCTAGTGGGTCCTGAACTATGGTTGCGTACGGAAAGTTGATTTCCTTTTTTTTCCTTTGTTCGGGTTTTTATTTATTTATTTATTTATTCATCTGATTTTTTGTCGTCTTAATGAATGTGATGTGGACAAGTCATTTTAACTGGAAATCACTGCAACCAATACTTTTCAAAGACGCGCCCTCTCACCAACTAAAATAGATCTTCCATGAATCTTCTTTCAATTGTAATATTCCGTATCATTTCAAGAGTTCTTAAGCCTCTCCAAATACGCACCCTCTCATTAATCAAAATGGGTCTTCTTAGCGACAAAAACAAACGATGATACTGATATTTGACCATATAGCAGAACCTTGACCCAAACCTTTTCTTCTTTCCATTCTCTAAACCGATGCGCATAGCCATCAACAAGAAGAGCCTAGGGCCAAAGTTCAATGCGGTAGTAACGCACCACGAAAGGTGATCTACCAGCATTACTGGATTTTCAGTTTAAAGCTTGTGACTTTTTTTTTAAAGCTTGTGACTTATTACCAAATATATTGGTATTTTGAGCCATGTAAAACCGGTATTTTGGTAATTGGTTTAGGGCTGGTATTACTGGTTTTCGGAAACGCTATTACCGGTATTGAAACCCTTGGAAACGATCTTTGCAAATACTCAAGTGCAAACACAATCCTTCTGTGCAGTTGTAAATATTTTCTTTGTCAAGCTATGTAGTTATGTAGTCCGGTAGAGCTAGTGAGGAAAATAATTAATCAATTTAGGTTGAACTTTTTGCAATGATCGTCATGATTTACTTGTAACCATTATTTAGTTAATTGAACTATTTAATGAACAACATGATCTTGACATCGATGCTTCAGATAGCCTAGTTAGTTAAAGCATGCTATTTCAAACCCGGAGGTGACCTGTTCGATCCCCAGTCCGGCCAAGAAAATATTTTCGGGTTTGAACTTCTCTGGGCATACAGTATCATTGTGCTTGTCACACAATATAAAATTTAAGCATTGGTTTGCATGGAAACTCTCAATTATAAACTTTGGAAGCTCATCAAAGAACGTTATGTTGATAGCCGGCAATATGCTCGCATAAGAAGCATCAAAAGAAGTGATCTAGATTTCGGTAGCTGTTTCATTTATGTTGCCAAAAATTAACTGTTGATCCCCATGGGTGCATCCTGCTTGGCAATGCTGTAACAAGCGCGCTTCTCGGCAACAGGACAAGCGTGCTATGTCACAGGATCACCACACATTTTGTACCCTTGGGATTCTGCCTGTTAAGATTGTTCCTAAATCGAGATCTTTTTCAGTGTGTTACAATTGAATGGCAAATCACATTAGATTATGAATAAATACTCTAAAGGCTAGCCACGAAATTATTGCAGCACACAAAAAATATCGTTAAACAAAAGTGATTTATCAGAATCAAGAAACAATTTCAGAGTATGATCTTTGACATATGGGACTCATTTATTTACCATAAACCAATACATGAACTTTTCTCTAAATATGTTACCGGTTCCATACTCAGCACAATATGCATGTCCTAGGACAAGTTATACTTACAAGATAAGGGACACAATTTTGCTTATCACTGTAAATTTACATTAGGAGTAATCAAATATTAAAAAAAAAAACCTTTATTTATTGTTCTTGCTCGGCTCGATATATTTCTGTCAAATGTACAGTAGTTCTAAGTCACTATTTCATGTGTTTTGTTTCCTTCACGGGGTTTGTTTTCTATGTGTATTTATGTAAAAAATAAAATAACAGACAGTTATATTATATTATGAAATTTGAAACACAGGCAGAGAATATACAAGCTATATTGCGACTATATGGTTACTTGGGTACTCATATGGCCATCAGAATGGTTCATCGGTTGCGGAGTGAAGTATTTCTGAAAGTGATGCGTTATATTTCTCAATGTTTTGATTTTATCCTATCACAGACAAACAGACAAAACTCATTGAACATTTCTCGTTGTAAATCCTACCGCCATCTGTCGTATACACTGTGACGGGCAATACGCTCAACAGATGGCGGTAGTGTGTAAACGTAAAACACAAGGGAATTGATTGTGTGCGCCGCAAGTGGCGGTACTACCAACTAAGAAACATTTAAATTGACCGTTAAAAGCGATTTCGATGAACATTTTAAGAGTGTTATGTCTGCTTGTACGGGATCATACCTGTCTTCACTATCGCAACTTCAGGTAATCCACGAAAGTGCTTGCATTTTTCTCAGGCACTTTTGATCTAAATGTAATCACTCTCTCATACTCGAAATGTGCCAATTTGCACAACGACGCCCTATACGCTCTCTGACCGAAGCGCAGGGAGCTTTCTTGCGCTTATTTTTGCCACCAAATTCTGCCGTTCATCCCGATTGGGGAACTTCTGGACCTTGTATGTATGCAATTCAGCATGACGTTTCACTTTTTGAACATAACTTTTTGAATCATCCAACTTTTTTGTCACATCCCTTACCGAAGCATTCGGATTACTTTTGATTGCACGCACCACCTTCTGTTGGACGTTTTTGCTCAGTGGACCTGGTTTTCTAGCTGCACCGGGCATGTGTTCGATGGTCAAACGTTCATCAAATCGTTTTAGCACTCTTGAAACAGTAGTACATATGTACTATGTTGAGTCATTTTTCGAATTCGCGGTAGCATAATGTTGGATGTTCACGGTGTGCGAGCTTTTGTACGGTTGCTTTGCTGATTCGGTTTCGTTTTGAAATCTACACAACAGAATCTCACAAAATTAACAGGATGTACACAATACACATTGAAGTATATTTCAACAAAATTTGGTAATTTTTCATCCTATGCAGGATGAGTTATAGACAAAT